AGAAGGAAATGAAGAGAAGAAAAATAAAGTCAGAGACGGGAAGAAAGCAAAGAAAAATTAAGTTAGAGAAGGAAAAAACAAATAAATTCAAGTAACATATTCATTCATTCATTTGATAAAGGTTATTCAGTAACTTCACATTTCTAAGCAATCGACAAATTTTCAACTATATACAAAGAGTAAGAAAAAAAGTTTAAAAAACAACAATGTGCCAGACGAGAGGTCGCAATCAATTTTTGCTGATATTTAATCTAATCAATGAGAAGTTTTCATTCTATTTTTGAAATATTTATCTAAATAAATGAAAATTTATCCATTTTTATAACATAACATATGAATCGAAATGTTTTATACAAGTTTTCGAACTTCTAGAAAAATAACAATCTAGATATTGTACAAAATATTTGTATTAATATATCATGTTTTAAAAGAACGAGTTTTCATTTATTTAGATAAATATTGTAACTTACTCAAAATTAAATATTTTCGAAAACAAAATGAAAAGTACTCATTTACTCGATTAGATATCGATAAAAAATGACAATCGTTTATCACGTGTAAAATTAGGAGAAATCATGGGTTTAATCATGAACGAATCACTATTTATAACATTCATAATATAGCATTTAAACAATAAAAACATGATTCTTATTTTTTACTTAGAAAATCTTTTATTGTGAATAATGAGTATTTTTGACAATATATCACCTTTTAAATGCTGTGACGTCATATATAGTGAAAATGGTAAAAGAGTGTCCCTTCAACTAACTGTGAAGACCTTAGAGACTTTATTTTAGGCTTATTCAATAGAGAATTTCCTGTTTTACAAAACTACTAACTTTGATTTTTCAAATAACTTTTTTTTCGTCGGCACAAAAATTAAAAGATGAAACACCTACTCAATCATCTAACTGCGATTTCCGATTTTCTGCAGGCATCTGCCGATTTATGTTAGGGCCGATTCTAAAAGTAATTTGGCACTAATGGATAGAGAATTTCGTGTTCTCTGCTGCTATTATTCAGAAGAACAAGACCTTGAACCAACACTTAGTAGTATTTTGAGATGCATTCTAGGAAATTACGTGGTCTATGACATATTTGTTCTCATGCCGTCAAATGTAGAATTAAATTCTGAACAGAATAGTATGATTGTGAAAATGAAGAGTAGAAACATTAGGAAAACAACAGTGATGTAATTCTGCTAGAAAAGGATTTTTTCGGTTTCTTTACATTTTTTACTGCAAAAGTTTTTGTTGCATATATTTCTTCTATAGTCCTGAAACATATATCAAAAGATACAGAATTGGTTTTTTTGATTGTCGCAGTTAGAAGATTGAGTAGGTGCTCGTCTTTTAACTATTGCGCCGACAAAAAAAACTTAATTAAAAAATAAAAACAGTAGTTTTGTAGGATTGAAAATTCTCTATCAAATAAGCCTTAAACGAAGTCTCTAATATCTTAGAAACTGCCCTAAAAATTAGACAACATTTTGTCACGTTTATTATTATCTACTCATTATAAATCTATTTAAAATATAGTCAAGCGTAAGAAGTTTGTACTTCATAAACTTGAAATTATTTTTAAGATGTCATGACATTTTCCCATTCAAAGTTTTATTCGATATCAAAAAAACTATATATAAAAAGCTCCGCATTGACGTCAATCATTTGTGATGCTTCAAGAAAATGAAAGAAAAACAATAACATGAATATAAATGAATGACATCAAAAAAAATTCTAATGCATTTGATTAAAATATTAATTATGTTGCTTTTGTCAAGCTAACGAAGAAACATATACAACTGTTGAACGGCATTCGACTCCAGTTCTTTTTTGGCTATAAGTAAGACTCAGATTAAACTAAGAAAATCCTAAAAGAGTTTAGGCCCATATGTTATCCAGGTAAAGTTGTGATCGTTTTAGCGAGCTTTTGGTCTCTGAGCTAGCTATTCATGAAAAGCTCAATAATTCGGTTTCCACTTGAAGCATTGCTCATAGACATATCTCACGGCTATTAAATTATGGAGTCGAATGATATTCTACAGTGGAATATATATTGTCGTAAGTAAAGTAGAAATATTATTCGTTCTTGACATTTATGAGAGAAAACCTTCAACTGGTAAATCGCTTTCGAATCAAGGCTATGCACATTATGTACAGCCAAATGAGCTATGAATACTTTAAAAAAGCTCGTGTCCTTAGCTTATTGCTGCGGAAATACTGCACTTTTACGATATTTTTTACATGAATAACATGGTAACAGAAAAATTGATTGTCGAATTTCGATTTCATACTTTCTATAGAGAGAGACCTTAACAGGAATAATTTTTTATGAATCTTTCAGATTTTGTCGCTATTCCAGTTCTAAGATACAACTATGGTATTAGCGTGCCTTTTACATCGCTCAAATAAACCGACAAATTGGATGTTCCCATTTCAGGATAGAAACAAATCAAAAGACCTGAAATTTTCATAATAAGCTATTCTCATTACAATTTTTCTGTATGAAAAGTCGTTTTAAGTCGAAATTTGAAAATCAGTTTTTCTGCTGCTCTTGAAGGGGGCTATATCATTCAGTTTAAAAAAATACCATAAAAGTGTAGTATCTTCGGAGTAATAAGCTAAAGGCACAAACTTTTTTCAAGATATTCATAACTCATGTGAGTCTACATAGTGCATATAGTCCTAACTCAATAGTAATTAGTTAGTTGCGGGACTTCCCTCCTTAGCTGAGAGAAATTTAGTGTTTTAACAATTTAGTACTAGTGATGTTCACAATTACTATACTAATTGTTATAATATCATCTTTTGTACAGAAAAAATATATTCTTTAGATTTTTATTTATTTTAAACTTAACCCAAATATTTATTGAAATAAACATCGAATATTTTCAACTAGTTATTCGTGAAACAAATAGACTGATCGATAGTAGTGCACAGAAGTACAGAGAATTTTTTAGAGAAGATAGAGTAAATCCATATGAAAGTTTAATCTAAAACTGAATAGAGTGCAGATTTAGATCTCATGAATGATTCGAAAAGCAAACAGAAGGCTTCATTTTATATATTCGAAAATATAATCATATTTCTCATAACTTGAGTCAATGTTTGTCAACTACGTTTTATTATATAAAATAAATTACGTCGTGTCTATACATTATCGAAATAAAACTTGAATTTAAATGATACAAATATAGTAAGAAAAAAGTTATATTTTCTTATTTTACATTAAGTATACATTACACATATGAGCATTTTCGATAAATGAACATGATGATATATCTAAACATGAAGGAAGAGGAGTACAAATACATTGATAGGGTTTACAATGAATATGTTCAAATTGTGTATTGAATTCTAAAACTTCACAGGGATCTCTTAGTGGTTTAAGAGAAAGTGAAGTTTGTTTGGTCGATTTATTAAAAAGATAATTATATGTTGATGGATTTTCATTAGGAGAAATCCATGATGGTTGTATGCAGATTTGTTTTTTACGAATACGCTTTTTTCGGCGAACGCCTTTAGCTGAAACTATGGATAATTTATTCTTTTGTTTGTAATCTTTAGTATTTGCTAGTATTGAAGATGGTGAATCGATTATAGATTTATTAACATGTGTATTGTGTATTTCAGATTGAAAATTTGATATTTGATTCAAAATATTATATCTTTTCTCTTTTTTTAGGTAACGTGAATCTTTATCTTCATTTGTATGGTCGATTGGTGTTCCAGATATTTTCATGAGAGGTAATATATTAAATTTATCAGTTGATTGTTCTTGTTGATCGAATTGTTGAATTGTATTATCTACTTGAATAGCTTTTGATTCAGATGAACGATACAATAAGTGTAAATCCTCATTATCTATAATATGATATTTGATTTTTTTTTAAATTTAATTTAATCATGAAAATACCGTATGGGATTTTTCGTTTAGAAAGAGATGTTGACATTAATGGTAAATTTTTCCAGTCTAATACATTTGTTTCTGAAAGAAGTATTTTTGATTCAAATGATATAGTACGTTTCAAAACAATTGCTTCATTTTGATCAATTCCTTGAAAAGAAAGAAAATAGGAATAATAAATCGAAGATAAGAATAAGTTACCTTTGACTTGAAATGCATCATCACTCACTCGGAATTGATCTAGAAATGAATAAATCGAAAAGTAAGAAAAAATTCAATCCTTTGGTTACCAACGCTCGTTTATATTTATAGATTGAGTTTTTATATAGATTATAACTTTGGCAGTCTTCTCTTTCCCTTAGGCGTTTAGAATCACAGCATCATCGTATGATATCACTATTATGGTCGTGTAAGACTTGCGTCAAATGTCATATTCTGACGACTCATAGGTACTATAAGTTTATGTGAAAATTATTGAGTAACGATCACTTTAGTATTTGCTGTTACAATTTTGATAGTAAAATTGATTTCTTTTTTTGTAAATAATAGAGTTATTGAAAACATAAAAGTGCAGAATAGATAAGGTAATAGTGAATTAAAAAAAATTAATGAATCTCCAAGAGTGAGAATATTAGAAATCGTGTGAGTCGTGCAAGATGTTTCGAACTCATTTATACTGCTAGAGAATAATATCCTATTCGTCGTTAATACATGTATTACGAAGAGCGAAATCAGAACTGGAGCCCTGCAGGGTCAGGTTGTCAAAATTTCAGCAGGGCAGGTTACAGGTTGCCAAAATAGCGTAACCTGCAGCCCTCTAATCAGAACCAAGAAATGTTTTTCTGATCGGGGATCTATGAGATTTCATAGACTCTATGCGTAAAATCGTTCAAAGTCCTATGAAACTAAACAGAAATCTATAAAATTGCGTATAATCGTAGAACTATTGTCACCCTAAAAAATTGCGATTATTGATGAAATTTGAACGTCACAAAAGATCAGAAATTGAAGTTTATTAACTCTAAATTACGATATGGAACTATAGGATTATACATGGAGTTGTGCGAAGATTTCCAAAAGGTTTTAGGTAACTCTATTCAGCTCTGCAAGTATCAAATTTTATGGTGTTGGCTTAAACTTAACCGAATGTACTGTTTTCCTTTGACGTATATACATAATTGCAAGCTTCCATGAGGAAACGCATAGTTTATGTCATTTTTGCAGAAAACTCGTAATTAGAGAGTGAAAGAATATCTATAAGCTGTAATAAAAACTTTACTTAGATCATCAAGATTTGCTTTACCTTCGTCTAATTCTTGTTCGTATTCTTTATCATGTAGAGAAGTAGTCATTGTTTGAAGGGATGTCGACGAATACTTTAGAATTCCAACAGTTGTAAGTAGTGAATCGGATCTTTGATTAATAATTTGTTCAAGCATATCATGCAAATGAATATTTCCTAGATTTGTATTAGATGGTTCATTGAGAGTTTGTAATTTTTCTTTTAAATAAAAACAAAATTAAATATATTATTAAATCTTTCATATTATAGTTCGTGAAATAATATCAAAATATGAAATATATTCATGATGACTATTCTCTTGAATTGTATAGAAAAAATAACACTAATATAATTACCATTAAAACATGTTACTTTTGTTTTTTCTATTGATGAATATGGATTAATTATAGATGTTGATCGAACTTCATCAATATATTCAGTTGAAATAGGTGAATCTATATTAAAATGATATAATCAATTTGAATTGTTTCGATCAACTTACGAATGATATCCGTAGTTATCGTAGGATGAAGATTATTGATGGAATGATCAACAACAGTTTTGAAATTTTCGTTAGATTCTACGAACAAAAATAAAAACATTCTACATTTCTTAAATCTCTTCATACTTAATAAATGAGGTCGTTCCATCGATAGTGATGAAGATATGTTATCATCAGATCGATCTAAAATTTTATTAGAAAAATGATTAGTTTCAATGGAATTCTCTAAGAAATTTTCTAATAATTAATCTTCTTTCGTCAAAGACGATATATTTTTCGATAAGTTTGCCTCTGAATATAGATAACTCAGCAAGGTTCAGAAAATAATTAATAATCTATTTAAGGTTAAGAAATATAATACATGAGTATTTTAATAAATTCAAAATGTGAATGTCAACGGTCAATTACAATTTACCCACGAGATCATCTATGAATCCATTCTATGGGATTAATCTTGACTTCTCATATGCTAGCCGATTTTCGTGAGTATGCTATATATGATAGAGGTTTGTGGAAAGTAAAATGGAAATCACGCTTCTGTTAAACATGCGACTAGTTGTCGCTAGATCAATGAACTTATTATAACAAAATTTTAAATTATTTCCACTGAAATCTCTGACTAGCAAACTAATTCATTGCTCAAGATGAGAATAAAACAGTCATACCGTTAGAAACTTCTATCATTAGTCAAAATTGATCCTCACAATAAGAGATGTAAATAAAAGAAAAGACATCAAGTTTGTCAAATACTTTTACTTTCAGATATAAATCGATGATAAATATGATCCGATGATAAACATATTTTGTTGAGTTTCGAGTTAATAATAGATTCTTGTTTGTCTATTCCATCAATAGTTGATGTCATTTTAAACGATTGATCAATTGGTAGATTGGATGGAAGTATAGTTCCTAAATTCAAATCATAATAGTTGTCTTCATTATCTCTCAGATTCTCGTTGTTGACGTTCGGATCATAATCAACAATAAACTTCATGTTTTGTTCTTCTTGGTGATCTGTAACTTCTGTTTGTAAAGGAAAATTTTCGTCACAATTTAATAATAACTCGCTATCATTCGAGATTATACTTTCATCATCTATTGAAATACTGAGATTATTTACAAACTAGTTTATCAATGAAAATAATTACCATAAGTATTCGATATGAATGTTTTCTCTAGAGAAAATATTTTTTTTTGTTCAAAATAATGACACATTCCAGATTTTCAAACCTTCAAGTATTGCTTGATTTGTTGATGATAATGTTTCAAATGCTTGGTTACTCAATGAATCAACTTTTTCATATTTATGTATACTACCAGAATTTTCATCTAGATCTTTCATATTATCACGTTTTTGTCTCATGATAATGTGATGTTCGTCATCTTTACTTGAATATTTTTTATTTAAAAAATTAGTAAAATCATCTGAAATTCTTGATTGATCATGATCAAAAACAGCTTCTAAATGATATTAGAAGTACTGTACCAAAAAAAAAATCAATAGATAAAAATCTCAAACTTTGTTGATCTTTGCCATTATCAATACATCTTATATTCAATGATGTTTTATTTCTCCAGAGATTTACATTATCTAATTCTAGAATTATTAATGGTAGACTTGGTATTTGTATAAAGGACATTCTTATCATATAGTTAATTAATATTATAATACACGCTGGTATGATATTGAATACTATTGTTACTTCTAATGGACTTTGATATATTATACAATTTGTAAGTTCATTTAAGAACGAAATTTTCAATTTAATATTACTACTATATTCATTTTCTTGTTTTAATGTATGAATAGGTATTAAAATTGTGTTTGAGGATTGTTTGAAATTCTTATAAAGACTTGATTTATTATGATTTTCAATGGATATAAATGAATTCGTAATTCGTTTTTGTTCATTTCGAAAATCTAATTCATCGTTTGAGATACGTCGATATAAACAAGTTTGTGAATCTTTTTCTTTCAAATTTAGTATAGATTTATTTGATTGATTAATTGTATTAGTACCTTGAACGATTAATAATATCTTTTATTCAAAACTATAAAATTAATTTTACCAAAAGAAATGAATGAATCATGTAGTTTTTTATTTAAATGAATATTTTTCTTAGATATTTTTTGAATAGTAATAGATATATTTGTTTCATTATCTTTTCGAGATTTTAATTGAGTAATAGATTGAGGATTGATTGAATTTATATGATATCGTTTTTGAATATTGTTATAGTTGACTTGAGGATTACATGAAAAAGGAAAATGACGATAACAAATAGATTGGTTTGTTTTTTGATGTCGATATGTTTTTGTTTGATAATGAGAACGAATTCGATTATGTCTATTGAATAGTTTATTGAATGTCTCTAATAAAATAGAATTTTAACTAACCGATGTGCAGCAATTTGACAGTCTATTAATTTAATGGAAACATTCGATGAATTAGAAGAATTTTTATTTGTTAAATGATATTTATATTTTGATGATTTATTAATATAATCATTTTGATATTTGAATATATTTGATGTTGATAAACAATCGAGATTGTTTATCGCTTTAGTTTTATTTTGACCGAGATTTTTCATTACATGAGATAAAATATTCGTCGGTGTAAATTGATCTATGTCATCTCTCATTCTAATATATATGATGAATAACATCGATGAAATGTCTCTTTAGAAAAATACGCTGACGTTGATCGATCATAAGTTTATCCAGAACATGTACGAATATGAATTGCAGATGAAATTAGATTTGATAAAAATGGTACTGGAAATTCAAAATTTTAGAGAATTTTTGTTTTCGATTTATTTAGTGTCGTTGGATAGAGTATATCGAGTTACTAACGAAAAACTACTTTTCCAATTTTTGAAAAAAAAATTTTTCTTGAAATATTAGAAAAAAAACTAAATTCTAAATATAATGATTAGAGTCATCTATTATCACAAATATGTTATTTCCACTTTGTAGAATATTATATAGATCATTTCCTGATTCTGCAGATAGAATTGACAAAAAAATCTTATGCCATAAAGTTTTTTCAGTCAATTTTATCTGCAGAATCAGGAAATCATTTTCTTTCAATATTTCAAGAAAAGATTTATTTTCAAAAATTGAAAAAGTAGTGTTTCATCGATAACTCGATGTGCTCTAAGTAATGACACTAGATAAATTGAAAAAAAGTGATTTTGAAATCATACTGAAATGATGGGATTATAGTTTATGGAATATTAATCAATGATTTTTTGTTATGTATAGATGACGAACTATTATTAATTGTAAATAATTGAATTTCATTGGAAATATTTTGTCTACAAATTAAATTCTAATCAAATTTAATTAGTCTTAATGTTGACTTATAAAATTATTTTTTCATTGATAAATATTTTCCCTTGAAAAACAAAATATTTATAATACATACGACTTTCTTTCACGTCGTAGTTTAGTGGATTAAGGATATTTTAATCGTTGTTTACATTTATTAATATAATATTGTAAATATTGAATAATATTTATTGCTGAATTATATAAATTATTTTGTTTATTAGAAAAAATAAGATATGACTCGAATAATTCGTTTGTCTGTTTTAAATAAATATAAATTAAAAAAAATTATGACATCTTTTAATTTTAATTTGTTACGAATATGATTGATTATCGTTGTTAATCGATTCATATTTGATGTAAAATCATAGCTTTTGGAGCGAAATCTAAATATTATGTTCGAAATTTTTTCTTATTAGTAATTCTTGAAAACACGTTTAAACGTCCTAAACATAGTTCTCGTTTAAGTATCATCACATTCATTTAGAAAATGCCAAAACCAGCTACTTTTCATCATAAAAACTGCATGAAGACGCTTAAAAAAGCAACTTTTCTATCTGGAAAACGTCTAAAAATTTTGACGTGCTTTGCAGATAAAAATGACTTTTTTTTCTGTCCCATGTATGTTAAAAATTAAGTGAGAAAACTTTTTGGACATCCTCCAGATGGAAAAGCTGCCTTTTAAAGAAACTTCATGCACTTTTTATGATGCAAAGTAACTAATTTTGGTGCTTTAGAAATGCACATGAAAACGCTCAAATATGAACTGCAATGAGAGAATTTCCAGAAATTCTTGTCTGGTTGAGTAGACACACTAATAAATTTACAAGATTATTTTTATTGAAATTACAAATGTATGAAATTTAATATAATCTGAAAATTTTAGATATAGTAATCTATGTTAATCATATATTTTAATAGATAGATTTATAAAGAAAAATTATCTATATTGATATATGAAAAACAATTTGTTTAATTGACAAATGATGAGTTCTTATGTAACATATCTTTTATTTGGCCTAGTTCGTCATTTGTCTTTTGTTGTTGGTTAATAATATTCGTAACTGGATTGGATTTTTTTTTGACGTAGTTGTGGGCAGTCATCCTTATCGAATAATATACTATTGGTGATATTTGTTTGTTTTGACGATGAGTAATAGTTAGGACAGAGCAAAAAGATTCATAAGGAGAAATATACTTTCATAAACATCAATAATAATCATAGTCATTTAGTTTATGACGACCTACCTTATATTACACAGCTTCTATTATTATTACTATTGCTCGCTGTCTTTGCACACTTATATATTGCATCATACATAGTCAGATAAGTTGAATTTGTTGATTATTTATTTATTTTTAATTGTTGTTTACATTTTTATTAAGAGAAAAAGAGATTCGACTTTTGTTTTTTAGTCTTTCTCATTGATGAAGTTCTTTTATAAAATATCGATTAGGAAAAATTAATTTTCTTTTAGAATATGTTCATTCGAATAAATAATAATTTTTTTTTTCTAGTTAATATATACCATAATTCTGTAAGAATCATTTTTTTAAGTATGTGTTTTTAATTAGGTTTGTTTTTAATGAATAAGACATTTAATTTTCTATACGTTCGAAACTTGATATTATATTTTGTATATGAAGATTTTTATTATAACTATTCGATGTATTAAACTCATTATTACAAATTATTAATTTTCTCAACAAACAATGAATAGAATCTTATAGTTAATTTAATCCTTTACCCCTCTTATAAAAGTTCCAAAAGAGTCACTGACAAAATAACTTTAAAAATAAATTATTAGTGTGTCTAACATGTTAATGATGTGGTCTGATTCATCAAGTATCTATATCTTTATGTCGGACGATTTGATTCGTCCAATGATTGCATGGTAGAGAAAGGAAATTTAGCGATGTATTAAACCTTGTTTTTTTTTTCTTCGATCACATCATTGAGTGGGTAAAAGCAATATCAATCGTATGCTATTGTAATAATAGGAAAAAGGTAAGAGTGAATTGATAAAAAACAATGTCAATAGAACACGTGCTTTTGATATATCTTGTTCAAGTGAACAACTACTTTGCGTTGACTCATTTTATAGTCAACTTCTCATCAACTGAGGTTTATAATACATATATTAACATCGTTCTTGATTGTTTAATAATGGCTTCATGGTAAATCTCATATGCATGAGTATGTTTAATTTACCAAGTTATCATGAAGCTTTCAAAAAAATATCTAACTTACTAGTTGACTTCTTCATCAATTTAAATCACAAAGAAATTCCGACAGATCTCTATTGAGTGTAGGTAGAGAACATTTCATTTCGAAAACATCGATTTTGTAGACCCGATAGTTCAAAGGTAGAGCGATGAAAAAAACTAATCTTTTTCTCAGTTAATAGCCCATGAAGTTCACTACAAAAAAATATTCTTAGCATTTTCAAATTTCATGTCTTCTTTATTTTCTGCAATTGTTCTATAAATGGTAACTCCAGTAATCAACAAGAGGAGAAAAGGTTAAAGAAATTCTTTTATTAGAAAATTCGTATCGTGATTAAGATACACTTCTATTTTATGAAACACAATCTAAGAGAAAAACGGAAGTACAGAAGAAAAAATTGTCATCATCATGACTGACACGCCATTATAGACATCTAAAAGCAATACCTTTTTTTTCCATCACAGACGATCATGTGCATTTTAGTATTTCTATTTCTTTCTTACAGATCATGACACACTAACTTACGAGACTGAATTCTACAATAGGATTATAGTATGAAATCAAATTAAATTTAAGATGATTATCTTTTGACTTTTATTTTTTTCTTTCAATGTTACTGTGATATTTTATAATTAACATCTTTCATAATTCATGTGTATGAACAATAGTTGATAATCCATACATCAAAACCTTTCTTGACTTTTTTTTATATCATAGAAATTATGCTAGGAAATTTTTACATAGGAAATAATGTTAAATAAACTTTAGTTAAATATTTTTAGGCAGAAATATAACAACAAATTTCTAGAAAGTTCTGTTAAACTAACAGATTTCATCATTCTTCGTGATCAAACTGTTGTAAAAACAAATTCTCTATGACCTTTTTCGGAAGTTAACATGCGTAAAATATTGCATTGGAACATAAGCACATATATTTCTATTCAACTGTAAAATGTAGATGAGGCAAAAATGAAAAAAAATAATGAAGTAAGTACATATTGATTAACTGGAGGAAAAAAGAACAAAAAAGAAAATATGAATATTATTTTTTATTTCATTTCGAATCGAATGCAAAAAAGGGTAGGCAAAATGAAAATCAAACAATTTGATTTTAGTATGAATCACACTTATATATTCAATACTTTTTTTCTCGTAGTTTGTGTTCGATTAAATAAAATTCTAATGTAAATCTGAAAATAGAAAATTAATATTTGAAAATCACTAAAAGTTGATTAATATAGCTTTAAAAAAACCATTGAAGTTTATAATTTTGAATTTTGTTTTTTTGTAAGTTTTAATGAATAATAAATTTTATTTTCTAAAAGAATTTCAATAATTTGTTTAAGATTATTAATTAATTGACATATGAAATTACTTTTTATTTTTTATCTTTATTCTGTTAACACATCCTCTTGTAAACTTTTATGAATAGTTCTTGTCCTGTTATTATTATTTTTTTCACGTTGTGAAAATATGAATCTTGAAATATGAGATTACGAACTGAAAAAAGAAACGTAACGTAAACTGATGATAAAAAAAAACAAATTCGTGATGACGTGCGCAATTATTCACACTTATTGTCCTTGAAAACACACTTTATCCGAACATCGCAATAATATATATAATGAGCTTCAATGTATGTATACAATAAAAAGCATATAATCTATAGCTCTGACACTGCTGAAAAGAAAACTAAATGATCATCGTGTTGACGAGAAACTAATCGTTTTAATTACAGTAACAAGTAAAGAATGTCAGACGGTCCGTTTGATTGATATGTCCCTTTCTTTCGTCTTTTCTTTTTGAGAAGGCACCAGCTTGCTTTTATTTAATGTTTACTATAAATATATGCAAATATTTTAATACTTCTTGACCTGGTTTATACTATCATGTTCTTACTATGATTTAACTAACGCATGCTTTTTTGTTGCCTTTTGAAATTGTTATTTTATTGATTCGCCTATGAAATAGAAGAAAAATAAGGATGGTTAAGGACATATAAATTTTTATGACTTTTCTTCATCCATTTATATGAGTATATAATAGTTAGAAAAAAAACGTTTTGAATATAACATATTTTCCTTTTTAATTATTAGTTCAATCATTGGATTCTATGAATAGAGATATGTCATCAGAAAATGACATCATCCTATGCGAACTACCCACAATTTCTAATACGCAATTTTTTATTGTGGTTGCCGTTGTCGTTCTTTTCTTTTTCTTCTTTTCTCTTCTTTTCTACTGTCATTTGTACCGGCAAACAGCTGAGAAATAAGTAAAGATTCGAAGCAGTGTTTGTGCTTCTTTTTCCTCTCCTTTGACGCACGCATTTTCTCCGCACATACACACACATACAGCAAAAAGAAGAAGTATAGAAGAAAAACAACATATTTACAGAGTAAGCAAAGAAAACCAATGAGAGAAGGTCGATTTTTTTTTGTCGTACTAATAAAAAAAAAATGAAGTGGAAAAATTCATTTCTTTTATTTTATTAATTCTATCTGTAGATTTGATATACAAATGTGCACCGATATTGATTTTCTACCACATATAATGGCTATAACAGAAAAAGAATTTATATTACCCAATGAATATGATCGTAGAAGTAGTTCAACACCATCGATAACATCATCATCATCTTCTTCAACCACAACAACCACAACAACTACAACAACAAATTCAACATCATGGATTGAACGAAAATTATTTAGTCATTTTAAACGTTTATTTCGACGAAATACATTTTCTTCGACAACTAATTCTTGTCAGTCCAGTCGTCGACCATCATGTACTATTGAACAAACTATTGAATCATCATTCGATGAACAATCTGAACAAACAAACGAAGAAGAAGAAGAACAAAAACAAGAAGAAAATACAAATCATGGGAATCTTCCTTCTTCTTCTTCTTCTTCTTCATCATCATCGTCGTCTTCACCTCTAACTCTCACTCTTCCTATAGGTTCAAATCCGACTAGTGAACAAGCACAATTAGAAACGAATGATTCAAAATCTATTGATTTACTATATGATTATAATCGTCTTCTTGCACGTTGTCTCGAACGACAAAAACATGATTTAAGTGAAATGATATCACGTTGTCAAACGCCTATTACAATTCCACGTGCTGATTTAATTGTTGGTCATTCACGTTCAATACTTGTTAATTGGAAATCTTATACACGTTTATTTCGTGCATTAAATCGTGATCCACAATTATTTCAACAATATATTAATCAGTATTATGCTTGTCAATCATCAATAAATCAACGTGAACAATTAACATTTAATGTTCGAACAACAAAAACAACATTTGATAATGTATTAAAATTATTTCTTAATGAATATGTTACTTGTTTAGCATGTCAAAAAGCAGAAACTCATTTAATTAAATCAACTGGTTTATGGCGAATAGAATGTCAATTATGTGGCAGTCAACGTTCAGTTAAACGTCTTAAATGGAAACTTTAAAATAAATTACTCATAACGATGAAAAAATAACAAACAAACAAGAAGAAGGATATTCAGAATCTTGATTACTTTTACTTTCTTTGTGTTTCTTTTTTAAATCTAGTCTTTTATGTCTCATTATATTCTGTTATTGATAAGTTAATATTATTCTTTTTTCTTTGGTTTCTTATCGATATTTGTACTGGATGGCACGATATTTGTTAGTACAACGAGGAAAAAAAGAATACTACACGGACATTTTTCTTCATGATGTTAGTGTTCGCATATGCAATTATATCGCTTTACATTTGGTTATGTATGCTCTGAATCATTTGAATATTTTAATAAAAGTACAAAAACTATGTGCGATATCTTTTCTTTTATATATTATATAATGGATGTCGTCTTATAAATTGACGATAATAAGGATAGCAATCATAATAATTTTATTCTTTATTGCGATTATCAAAGGAAAGAATGAATAGGAGAAGACAAGGCCGAGACATTATGCGCAAAAAAGATAATACAATTATTATGATAGACTTATGCGTCAATTTGGTTTTTTTTCATTAGCTATATTTTGGTTTTTTCGTAAAGAAATATCTTTTTTTTTCTTTATCAAAAGATGACAATAGATTTTTTTTTTTTTTATTAATTAGACTGTTCTTCCGATGAATAGGACATATAATGAAACGGCAGCAAAAATACATATAATAATACTACATGTAAGTGCTACTATTATTGAACCAAAACTAGCTAATGATGAATAAATTTTTGTTGAATCTGAATTGATACTTTTTATATTAGTTTCAGATATTTGTGAAGTAACAATAAATACTCGAATAGATGCAAATGCAGCAACAAGAGCAATACCAATACAAAGAATAGTTAAAAATTTTAAAAAAGCATGTGCAATCATTGAATTACCAGAAAAAACAGCACCATCAATTAACTAGATTATATTCAAATGACATCATTATTTTTATTTTTTCATTAAAATTACCTCTATATAAGCTAATGTAAAAAAAGCAAGACACATTGATTGCATTGTCGTTTCGAAATGATTTGGAATTTCATCTTGAATTACTGTAATAGGTACGACTGTTGTTCGACCATTTCGATTCGATGTTGAACGACGTAACCAACCGTAAGAAGATTTATGTGCAAAATTTGTTTCATTAGTAGAAGGTGGTAATGATACTTTTTTATTTTGTTGTGATAATGATGAATAACTATTATTATTAAATTCAAGTGATTGAACTCGTTCCATTATGATAAATCAAAAAAAAAATTAATAAATCAAAAAAAAACAATTAGAAAACGAATGAATTATTAATATTGCGCGTATTGTTGAGTTCAAAGAAAGCGTTATAAATAGAAGGAAATATTTCATTGAATGGAAAAAAAAACATTTACTTTTTGAACTTGTCAAATAAAACGTGTTTGAAATAATGCCTGTCATATGAGAATAGTTTTCATTGTTTAATAATAGTTATATGTATCTATGTAAGATATTTGACACTATTTTTCACTAATCACGAATGACCTTTGAAAGCAAGAATGTGTTTGTATATTCTTTTCAAAGAATAAAAGATAAATCGATAGGCTTTATATTCGATACAAGTATATTAATATTGACTCTTACTGATATTTGCCAAAAATGAAATTTAATATAATACTACGAAGTTTTATGATTATCATTATAGTTCTTTGATCTCAAATTCAAATTGAACTTTTGATTGTGTTTTTTTCAGTGTTGGTAATTTTTGCTCTTTTCTATTTTTTTTTAGGGAATAAAAGTTACGTATCTATTATATATGAAGGTAATGGTCATATTGAGACTATGAGCCACTACAATGTATCCTATTTTAAATAGTGATAACTACCAATATACAGAAGTAATGAGTCATTGTATACACCTGTGATACTTGTCTTATCTTGACGTTTTTTTGATACCATTGTTATGTGTTTCTTATATTTTTCTTGTTTGAATTTTTACTTATATCTAGTAGATATTGCTTGCCAACAACAGTTTCATCAATTGTCCTTATTTGTGTAGTTATAAAAGAAATGGACCCAACGTTGGGACAGTTTATTAACGATGATGGTTTGTTAAAGAAACCTATACATCATATAAAAAGTGTAAAGAATTTCGTAGAAGTTGACAAAAAAGAAGATAAAGATGTTGATAACAGTATAGAAGTTGATGATAACATTAAATAACTTTCATTCAATACTAATAGCGAGAACAAAACTTTTAGACTTGATGATAAGAATGTTTGTAGACATTAGAAATGATACTTTTCTATATAAATCCGTGGTCGTCTATGAGAAAAATATAAATTTGAAAAGCTTGTGTGATACTTTTTTTGCATATATATTCTATTTTAATCTTTGTATAAATTCAATTTCAGGATCTGTTAGTAATATTATATCATTATGTGGTCTGTAGTGTCCTCTAGCAAACATCCAAGTATGATGATAAAATAGTAAAAATTCGTTTCAGGAAAAATCATGAAATAAATCATTCTTTAACTTGAATTTGATATCAAAAGACTCTAGCTGCTGTTACAGAAAAAAAAGTACAGTAAAGTTTAAAACTTATCTTTTCAAAATGTTATGAAAATCTATCGTAGTAAAATGATTGTTCTGTTTGAAATTGAGAAACTTTTACTATATAAAAAGTTTTTTTTATGAAGTTGATTTCTATCAGATGTATAGTAGATTGAAATATCGAGATTTTTTATTTTTTATTTTTTTTAATTCCGTCATTTATTCATATGAAATACATAACGAACATATTTTGTTTTCTTTAAATGACCGAATGAAGCTAATCTCTGTTATTGAAGCCAGTCAAAATGAGTCAAACATATTTGATTAGAACAAACCGTTATTATTTACGAGGTTTTAGATAGTTTGTTTTATTCAATAAAAAATACATATAATCATTTGATTAGTAGTATTTTAAGAAATAAAAGAATTCGAATCAGTCGACTTATTTAAGGCTAATCAAAAAAGTTCTGATAACATTAGAAATAAAAAGATATGTCTATTTTAATTTCATTTGACATTTAAAGTAGTTGCTATCATGCTGTATACGAACTTCGATTCCTTCAAACAATATCTCAGAAGTTTTTCTTTATGACCTATTTTTCGGGAATACGTTTATCTATGTAAAAAAAGTCCATTAGTTAATAAGATCTTATTTGTTTAGTCAGTTTCTAACATTTGTCTTGGAAAGAACCCCACTGGATAAGATCGAAAATCTACCACCTATTATATCTCATCTTTAATAGACTAGAAAGATAGAGCATGAAATTCTGCATACATCTATGTATTTATTTTGTTTTAAGTACGACCTAAAACAAAATTTTCTAAGACTAAATAATCGTGAGGAGCATGCAATTATTGGATCCTCCGAAAAGTGACTATGATAAGCATGACGTTATCTCTTGTAAAGCTGATATAAAACCTAATGGCGTAGATCAACACATATTTGTGTGCTCTATAAAATGACATAGTGATCATATTTGTGAATAACGTCGTTCTAGTATTATCTAGGATATCCAGGGTCGACGGATACGATTCAGATACTTTATTGGTGACTTTTGCAGTTTCATATTGTCTTCAAAAATCAAAGTAGACAGAAAATTATCTGCGATCAAAAACTGCTGCAACTGAAGCTCTTTTGATTTATATAGTTTTTGAAAAAATCTAAACAGTCCGAAGATTCATTTCAATCGATATATTATAAGGAAATATCATTTTCAGACGATTTTGAAGAAAATGTTGCTCTTGAATCTTAACCTCATTTCGACTTCACAGCAAAATGAATATCATTTTCGGAATCAGCGGAAAAAACTGTATTATAAAATATGTATCTCAATAAAAAACTTTTTTACGAAAAAAATCGATGGGGTCCCCGCCAGGGTTTTTTT